CAGGGGGGAGGGAGGGAGGAAATCCCAGGGGGAAGGGAGGGAGGAAATCCCAGGGGGAAGGGAGGAAATCCCAGGGGGAAAGGGAGGGAGGAAATCCCAGGGGGGAGGGAGGGAGGAAATCCCAGGGGAAGGGAGGGAGGAAATCCCAGGGGCTGCTCCCACCCTCTGGAAAAGGCACAGGGGGTGCCTCCAACCAGGATTTAATCCCAGGATCTTTCCTCTCCCTCCCTGCAGAGCAGAGCTGGGTCCCCCCACAGCAGCCAAATCCCCACAGAAAGTCCTGGAGAAGTGGGAATTGTCCTGTTTTCTTTAATAAAGATAGGAAGGATTTGTGTTTTCCTGTTAAGGCAAGGATCTGCTGCTGCTGCTCGGCTCCGGGGGCAGCTCTGATTACACAAAAAAACTGAATTACACCTCAAACTAAAGGATTACGTTTTTAGAGACAATTCAGAATTAAAAAAACCAAACCCAAAAATAAATTCCACATGGTTTCCTTCTGATTCCCTGTCCTGAGTCCAGTTCCACACCAGATTCTGAGGTACAAGACAATAAATTAAAAGTTCATTCCAACTGCGGGGATCGCTCGCTCAATCTCAGTGCGACGTCTTCTTCACCCCCTTCCCGAATTTGGCATCGAGTCCAAGGCCTGGGAGGAGACAAAACACGAGGTTTGTGTCCTCCAAACCAGCAGGAATTTGGGGAAGGACCAGCTGAATATCCCCAAATTTAGCCCTGGAATGAGGCTGGGGGGGGACAGGAGCCCGCGCTCCCTGCGCCCGTGTCCCGTCCCCGCGGGTTCCAGGAGCTGCCGGCGCAGGAATCCCAGGGATTTCCCTCCCAAACTCACCCAGGAACACCAGGACGGTGCCCACCCACTGCATGGGGCTGATGGGGTTGGCAAAGAGCACCACGGAGGCCAGGATGGTGAAGAACTTGCGGGTGGTGGTGATGATGGAGCAGGTCAGGGGCCCGAAGTACACCACGGTCATGAAGATGAAACTCTGCCCAAGAGCACAGAGCTGCCGTCACTGCCGGCCCAGGCAGCCAGGGAAACCCCCCAGGGCCTTTCTGCTTCTAATCCTGCTTAGTCCTGGCTTAAACTGGGTTTGGGGAATCCTGGAATGGGCCCTGAAGCTCATCCAGGGATGAATTCCCCAATCCCAGGCTGCTCCAAGCCGGCCTGGGACGCTGCCGGGGATGGGGCAGCCACAGATTCCCCGGGAATTCCATCCCAGCCCCTCCCAGGGAAGGAAAGCCCACCCCAAATCCCATCCCTGACCCCGTGGGAGCCAGCCCAGGGCACGGACCTGGCCCAGGGCGCTGGTGAGGCCGAAGAGGAGGATGTTGGAGATGATGCTGGGATAACGCTCCGTGAAACTCAGGAACTCCCAGAGCTCCCCCGTGAACAGGATCCCTGGAAAACAGCCTGGGATGAGGATTCCCCACCCACCTGGGGTCAGCTTGGGCTCAGAACCCCCCCAAAACAGGGAGTGAATTCCACAAACAGCAGGAAAAACACCAGCAGGACAAGCAGTCGCCCTCCTGGTTAATTAGTGAAAGAAAGATCATTAACTGGGATCAAATTCCACCAGAACAGTCCCCAGCCATTAATCAGGAGTGCTGCTGCCTAATCCTGGGAAGGTTTGGGCTGGAAGGGACCTTAAAGCTCCTCCAGTGCCAAGGGCAGAGGCAGCTCCAGCCCTCCTGGGCTCCGGTTGCTGCTCCCAGCTGGAGCAGGGGCGGCTCTGGGGCCCAGAAACCCCCGACAAAACCAAGCCCAGAGGGCTCCAGAGCCGGTTTTGGATCCGTCCTGGCTCCTCACCTGCCCCCAGGAACAGCGTGGACCAGAGGTTGACGTTGAGCATCATGTGGTTGGAGCCTGTCTGGTAGTGAGCCCTCATGTGGTCCTGGGCCACCCCCGTGAGCCCGTCCAGGGTCAGCGACAGCAGCTGCGGACAGACGGGACGGACAGGATGGAGAGGAGATGGACAGGAGATGGACAGGAGACGGACAGGAGACGGACGGGAGACGGACAGGGGACGGACAGGGGACGGACAGGGGATGGACAGGGGATGGACAGGGGATGGACAGGGGATGGACAGAATGGACAGGGGATGGACAGAATGGACAGGGGACGGACAGGGGACACCGTCAGGCCCCGCTGTCATTGGAAAATGCCTATTCTCCCTTCTCACAGCAGCTCCCAGCAGGGATTGTCAGGGGGGTGCAGAGCACAGGGAGGCTCCTCTCACCCCCCACCTCAGCCTGCTGCAGCTCCAGGGCACACCTGAGAGCCTGGGGCTTATCCCAGGAGTAAATCACACCTGAGAGCCTGGGGCTTATCCCAGGAGTAAATCCCACCTGAAACCTTGGGATTTATCCCAGGTGAGGGGTAAATCCCACCTGAGAGCCTGAAGTTTGTCCCAGGAGTAAATCCCACCCGAGGGCCCCAGGATTCCTCCCAGGTGTAAATCCCACCTGAGGGCCCCAGGATTCCTCCCGGGTGTAAATCCCACCCGAGAGCCCCAGGATTCCTCCCGGGTGTAAATCCCACCCGAGAGCCCCAGGGTTCCTCCCGGGTGTAAATCCCACCTGAAACCCTGGGATTTATCCCAGGTGAGGGGTAAATCCCACCTGAGGGCCTGAAGTTTGTCCCAGGAGTAAATCCCACCCGAGGGCCCCAGGATTCCTCCCAGGTGTAAATCCCACCTGAGGGCCCCAGGATTCCTCCCAGGTGTAAATCCCAGCCCCGTGGGGTCCCCGCACTCACCAGGAGCAGCTCCCCGTAGCCAAAGACGTGCTCGGTGTCCCCGGTGCCCTTTTTGGGTTTGTAGAGGAACAGGGCCACCCCCGCCACGATCAGCAGCACGCACAGGTACTTGGCTGGGGGGTACCTCTTCCGCAGCAGGGTCACCCCCAGCAGCATCACTGGGGACAGGGGAGGTCAGAAACCGCCCCCCAAACCCCCCCACAGGAGTTCACCCCCTACAAAATCATCCCCAGATGGTGGCAGGGGAAAGGGAACAGCACAAGGTGACCCCAAAGCCCTTCCTGGGACGAAAGCCAGCCCAGCCCCAGGCGGCTCTGACAGGTGAGGGCTGCTGGAGGCACAGGAATCCACAGGAATCCACAGGAATCCACAGGAAAACGGGAATTCTCTTACCTGGAATGGGCTTGCAGGACTTGCCCAGGACCTGGCAAGGGGAGAAGGGCGTTAATGATGCTCACCCCAAAATGAGCTCCCAAACCCCCCCCCAGGCCAGCTGAGACTCAGCAGGGACAGCTCAGCACCGGCCTCCAAGGCAATTACCCCAATTACCACCTAATTAACGAACCCCCCTCTTCCAGGGGGGTCTCTGTCCCTTCCCTCAGTGCTCTCAGCCCCTCCCTGGGCCCCAGCAGTGACCAGGACACCAAAGTGACCGCAGGGAACTGAGAGGGGGCTGGGAGTCACAGCCACTGTCCCCAGGGTGTCCCCAGGGTGTCACAGCCACTGTCCCCTGGGTGTCCCCAGGGTGTCACAGCCACTGTCCCCAGGGTGTCACAGCCACTGTCCCCTGAGTGTCCCCTGGGTGTCACAGCCACTGTCCCCAGGGTGCCACAGCC